TTTTTTTTTGGTAACAAAAATCTCATCCTGCTTTTTTTTTTTTTTTTTTTTACAGTGAAATAAGTCAGTCAGTGAGAATCTCTTCCATCTGAAATGTTAAAAAGAGCTGTTTCAGAAGCATGCAGTTAATCACTTTGTCTGAAAAACTACCCTGCTCCAGGTTGATTTCAGACATCAAAATTGACAGTAAATACATACTCATGGAAATAATTGAGTTTGTAGGGCATAGAAGCATCAATAACAATTTCAATCTGTTTCATCATAATCCAAAAACTCATCACAGAAGCTTAAAGATGAAGACGTGTCGAATGGCAGCGTTTTTCTGCACAGTTTGACCCAACAAAACACTTTGACCACTTTTCTTTTCTCTGATTGTCTTCGCCACACCATCATCATGAAGCATCACTTGACCTGTGCACTCCTCCTGATTCTCTAGACTGCAAGCAACTGTTTGTTATCCCTATTGTCTCCTGCAGAATGGTCTGAATTATATGTTATGCTACTTTGCACGCCCAGCAGCAAAACAGACACCACAGCCATCCAAGCTATTCATGTACGCCACAGTTTTTTTTTCAATTATTATATTTTGCTTTCTTTATATGTCAAACCACATAACTCAAATACTATGTGTGTTTTTTTTCTCTAGTCTCACATATCTCATTTTGTTCTATTCAAGGGGCACATTTTAGACCAGGGTGTTACTGAAACAAAGCAGATCTCATGCACACGCCTACTTTTATCGATGAAATGGCATTCTTTCTTTTTGGTCCCTGTCATGTTCTTAGTTGGAAGGTAAAATGGTTTTCAGTCTTCAGATATGCAAGCGAATAGTTTGATTTTCCCCTAAGATTGCAAGATAATAAATCATGACATTTCAGCCTCCAGCCCAGTACAATTTGCAAGGAGTGGGATTTCATTTGTGGGCTTTGGAAATGACCTTTAAGAATTCAACAGCAGCCGGTCTTTCCAGAAACAGCGTCTCCATTACTCCCTTAAACTGTTTTTTTAAATACAAATGCTGTTAATGTGATATCCAAACTATTTGTGGCGAAAGCAGAAAAATCTTAACTATTTATCATGAAACATCTGGATATACTTCTGTTTTTGTTTAATCATATGGGGTCAAATACTTAAAATAGCTCCACAACAAGTACAATAAAAATCATCTTAAACTGAGACTAATGCACCTTTAAACATAACAGTTCCCACAAAATAATATTAAACAACATCAGATGATGATTCTTAAAAGAAATCCTCAAACTAATTGTCTCTCTTGAAGAAGAAAAAACAGGTATTAAACTTAAGCCTTCCCAACCCTCTATAGATCAAAATAAGATTAAACAACTTAACTCTACCGTATAGCAGCAACACACAGCAGAGGTGGTTTTCCAGTGAGGTCTGACATTCTTTAATGCAAATACTCACAACAGCCGTGAACACTTTAGGTTAAACCCTGCAGGTTAAGCAGCTTAAATACAAAAGAATGAAGGATAATCCTTGGCATTTGGTATAACAAGATTTTCTCTTCTTGGTGTAATGTTCATTTGGGCTATAAGCCAGGTTACAGCCATTTATGTTTGAACACTTTCTCACTAGCATGTTTACAGTATTTATGAATCGCTGAGAATTCAAATGTTTCTTTGGAGTATTCTCTCCAGGATGACTTCAATGAACTTAGAAACAGTTGACAGAAATCTGGAAAGACTTGTTTGAAGATAACCTAGACTACAGATATATGAGAACTACATGTCTCTGTATGACTAAAAGCACTTTTGATTCAGTGGGAGGGTTGCAAGGATTCACGATAGCAGCTTTTGCCTCTCTGATCTCTTGTCTTTTTCTCCAGAAACGATAAATTAACCTGAAAAACTGGTTCATCTGCCCGGGCCACTGAGGTTTCAAAAGGAGCTGATCCCTCCGTCAAATGTTTGTTTAACTTAAAAGCATTATCCATCCATGTCAAGAAAATGCATTATTGAATCCATTATGTGGGGACATGACACCACGACCAAGGCTGCCAATAAGGGGGATAAAGGGGAAAGCTTTCTGGGGCCCAGTGGCATGGGGAGGGCCCATATAGATTAGTGAAAACATGGTCCAGCATCCTAATTTTAAGCAACAATGACCACATTCTTTTTAACATCTAAATACTCACCATTACCTTAAAATGTATTTTTGCTTCAGTAAACTGTAGCCTGTTTAAAAATGTTAACCCGCTTCTTAAAATGACTTGAGCCCAGTGAACTGAACAGTTGTGTTGGTATGAATATAGCCCTAACAGGACCTGCACAAAGATAGGATGCAAGAAAATAAATAAGTAGAAAAGGAGGGACTTGGCTAGGGTGTTTGACCCCCAACAAGAACTTGTTAACAAACTAATTACAGTCTGCTTCAAAGGCTGATGGGAACCAGTCAGAGGGAGATGTTAGCCAGGAGGCTAGCGCTAACACTATTGAATACACACATTATGTTAAATCATATTATTTCAGTGGCCCGGCCGCTGACCATGACGCTCCACAAACAACACCTCAGTCACTTGCGTGTTTCAGGAGGACATTGAGATTTATTTAGTGCAGACTGTTCCTCAAAAAACAAAGCTTGATGTCTTGTTTGTGGACTGTAAACTCCAGCAAAACACAAAATCAAATCCTGTACTTAATTATCAAGGCAAAAAACAACTTTTGAGATAAAAGCCTTTTGTAGGACACATTTTCCTGTGTTATTGTGAGAACACATTAGTTTTATATTCCCTTTCAGGTTGTCCTGTCACCTACTTTCCCCTTAGTTCTGCTGATGTCACTTTGTTTTGAAGCAGACTTTGTTCAGATGAGTAAAACCCACGGAGACACAAAAAGCTAATTGCCCTATCAGTCTTTAAAGTATCTAATGATGACAGATATCTAAAGCCAAGCCTACCTCGTTGGTGGCTTTCATGTTTATTGTGCTTGAAAGCTCCACTTGAGAAGATAACAATCATTGATCCTTATATTTCAATCATGTCGTTCCCACTCTTTATTTTTGCTCTACTACTCTGCTGATCCATGATATTTCATTTTTTTGTGCCTCACAAAAAGCCAGGGTCACTTTCAGAACAGCGTGTAGATTCACTGTTTCGCTCATCTCTTCATCAGGGCGGATGTATCGCGGGCTCTGGGGGCTTGCATTTGGGCCTTCCAGTCAGAGATGAGTGTCTTCACTGGTCTGGTGGAAGAGGAAGTATCCATTTGAATTGTTTTCCCCTACACAACATGAGGAAACATATAGATATTTTAAACAATACAGCAGGATAGTCTGCTGGACTTCCTCTAGAGGACACATTAATGTGACGATTGTCACACAACAGGCGCCCCATAGTCTGTCGGATGTTGATTGCGACACTCAAAAAACATTGAGTTAATTAATGATGACGATTATGATAATGATGCTCATTTGAATTTGAATGATTTATGCAGTAGTTGCATATTTTCTGGTGATCGAATTGATATTGATGAGGATTTATGTTTTGTGGGAGCAATTTGACAAGTTTGCAAACACAAGTGATACACATGACGAGGGAGGAAGCTCACATTAAAATGATCATTTAAACATGTTTGTCAGAATAAATAGAAAAAATAATGCTCTCAAACTATCGTACCTGACCTGTGTATTACTTTCCCCTCTACATCCTCAACTAGCACCATGTTACTCTCAGCTGACTGCAAGAACAAGCTATGATTTGTGTGATTTCCCTTTCCTCTGTAAATGTGCACATGATGTCAAGTGAATTCTGGCTGCCAACACATGAATACATTGTTTGACTACTACAGCTATAAATAAAGCTATAGCAACCACTCTGAAAAAAATAATTATTTGTAAGCTACTTAAAATCAACATATTAACTTGGGCTACTTTGTGAAATGAAGAGAGGCTTCCTCAAGCTTCCTCTGCGTTTAACTGAAGTGATTGGGAATGGTAATTATGACTATACCGCCCCTTAGCGGTCATAGAGGTCTAGGTGAAGTCCAACCAGGAGTAGGGCTGATCCTTCACTCATTCAGTACCATTTAAACGAACTCGAAATATGTAAGCTATGCATTCTTTGGATTTTTCCTGTGAATTCTTAAGCAATATGTTTTATAGGCTATTTGAGTCATTGAAAATGGGTAATTAGTCGGGAGGAATCTAATGAGGAAAAAAACTTGTCACAGTATTTCGCAATCCCAAATGTTCAGGGATGCATGAACCACAGCTGCAAGTTGCACAACACGGATTTTTAACAAAGTGGGAATGAAAAACGATAAATCTTTCCAGCTCATTTGTTTACTCGAAACTTTTAAGGGCATATGCTAGTGTCACTCGTTGGATGTAGGCTATTATTGTAAGGATTTTACAGCATAACGCATGAGGACGAGCAAAAGTAAACTGTTAGTGGGCCTGTAGTGAAACGTATTTGAGATTTCAGTGTGGTTGTACTAAATGGAGCCCTGCAGACAACTTAACATCAACCGATATAAGTTAGACGCTCCTGTTTTAAACCTTAGTATAGTCTATCACTTTTCTGAAAGTTGCAATTACGCTACAGAACACATGATGGCGCACAACAGCAACGGGTCAAAAATAGTCCAACATGAGAGCTGTTGTTTTTTTTCTTTTTTGCAGGCATGTTCAACATTTTGAGGAATGTGCTATAAATTGATTTGTCTTTACTTTCCTGGATACATTTAGGCGTACAGACCTCTTAAGGGGTACCAACACAACATAGTAGGCCTAGGCTGTATGTCCGAGGCACATCGACATGGCACATACAGGAGTATTGTTTGTTTTCTTTGGTGGGTAAAAACTTTTTTTTCTTTTCTTTTTTTTTTAAAGTTAAATGTGGGTTTTCGCATTCATAAACACAGCTTCAAATTGTTGTGGCCAACATGGGAGATAATTGTGTGTAAACTTGTGAGCGCACCTCTTCCCCTCTCACTCCTGAGAAAAGGAGATCACCCCTCCCTCCATTCCCTCCTCCTGTTCATAGAAACTCCTCTCCACAGTCAGCAGCGCTTCAGACGCACTCACTCCCGCTTTCCCACTCGACAGCTTTGCAACATGTCATTCTGCGGCTCCGACTTTCGCTTGTAACTTATTTTGGCTTCCCTACCACGCTGGACTAAGCCCCCTAACTTAAGTTGACCGGCTGAAGAAGGATTGTTTTTTTACCATAGCGCAGGTACAATGAGCGAATTCTGCTGCAGATCGACTGATTAAAGGTAAGAAGACCTAACACTTGAGACTACAAACTTACCAACACGAAACCAGAAAGTCACAGGTGTATACATTTTAAAGTCTGTTTGATGTAGTGATGTGTTCACGGATTCACACACAAACAGAGGCGCAGCTATTCTCAGTGACAGACCTACAAGAGATTCAAAGTTGGTTTTCAACTGTTGCCACTGATCATTCTTTTCCATTTGAGACATAACAGTGTTTGCTGGGAGCTAACAATATCTCCTCAGCTTTGTGCCAGCAATAGGGGCATCCACCTCAGTGAACATACACAAAGGGATCATCAGCTATTTTGGCATCTGTTTTGCGCAATTCAGCGTGATTAGTTGAACTAGTATCTGCTCTGAACCCTGTTAATGAGTAAACTGTGAGGATTTGGACACTGCACAGATCTCTCTGCTCTGGTACTGATCTGAGGTTTTCTCTCTTTTGGTTATCTTTCGGGGTGAGATCAGTTTTCTACAGGGTTGCAATGTTTGCACTGTGACCTGTGGTTCTGGACAGATACAGCGAAGAAGACACAGACACTTTTGGACCATGGATTTCGGCAATGATGTGGATCTGTCCAATGAAAACATCACCCCATTGTGGAGACGCCGTACGGACAATTGTAAAACAGCCCAGAACTCAAGCAAGCCCAAACCACGGCCCCTCAGTTATCACATAAACAGGGTCACGACGACAGACTTCCCAGTGGAGGACAAAAAGCCTTCCTTCACCTTGAGTCAACCTGCTGAGAGACTGGTGGTAGCACCTCCCTGCTGCGACAAGAACAAGGCAGTGTTGAAGCACGTTCTGCACAAACCCACTAAGAAAACAAGAGTTGTTCGAAGCATCAGCATCGGGCATTTCTCCAACGGATTGTTCTCACTGTCCAAATTTAGGTCTCAGGATAACCGATCTGTTTCACCGGACAATAGAGTGTGTAATGGAGATTGTCACCGAGGGAAACCCAGTAATCAAGTGACAGTTTGGCCTGAGAAACGCTCATCGAGTCCATTCAGTTTGAAAACACAGACAGATGGGATAGCATTTGGGAGCAGTTCACACGAAGTTCTTCCCCTAAATGGCTGCTCTCCTGTTGTTCCTCAATGCACTCAAAACAACAACAACCACCATGAGCTGTCTTCCGTTTCATCTGCATCCAGCCCCTCTCCTCCAGCACAGCGTACCCCCACACCCTCCCACAGCTCCACTTCCAGTATCCCCTCCCTCTTATCTCTCACATCGTCAGACCCCCCAACCCCACGCTCCCCATCACCAGTGGACCGAGGGCAAGCACTCCTCAGACAGTCCTCGTCCACGCCTTCATCCTCACAGGACACGAGGCATGCTTCATCCACTTCCTCCCTCTCCTCCACTTCACCCTCTCCCTCACTTTCTCCAACTATCCCTCCAAGCCCCTCGATCGTCCTCAGTACCCACAGCCCTGCGGCCCTGAAGATGGGCACCCAGCAGCTCATACCCAAGGGTTTAGCGTCAGACACGCGCCAGAACAAGATGCCTAACTCCGGGTCGCAAGGCCAAGGTTTGGTAGGGCTTCTTGGTTTGGATCATTCAAAACGAGCTTTGAAATCCCTCAGCATGGTGGAAACAGGGAGCTACTTTTCTACAGGAGGTGGCCTAGGTGAGGGGACAGATGGGGAAAGTGAGGGTTCAGGGAGTCTAAGAAGAGGCCTGAGAAGTACTTCCTACAGGAAAGCCGTTGTGAGTGGAGTAGACATGGAGGTTCCGACGGTAGATCCAAAGACTCTTCAGTTTACGGAGTCTGCTTTCAAAGGTCTTGATGGGGTTAAACCAGCTTCAATGGTAAGCCCAATAAGTCCTGGAACTGCAAGCCTCACTAGTCCTGGGACAGCCAAGCCTGTGAGCCCCGGGACACCAAAAGTGGCCAGCCCTGGGACACCAAAAGCTACCAGCCCAAGGATTTTAAAGCCCGCTAGCCCTATGATTGATATACCTAGCAGCAGTGGAAAAAACAAGGTGGGTAAATCTCTTAGTCCATATTTAGGTTGTAGGTTCAAGGGGCAAGTTTTCACATTAACTTAAACAGATAATAATATACTTAAAGAAAAATGGGAAGTTGGTTTATTAACTGGCAAACTCCCTAATAACTAATACAGTTTATATCATAGGGCGATAACGATATTGATATCGGACCAAGTCTAATTCATGGCTTGACTTTTTGTTCCTATTTAAGTGTATGAATTAACATACATGACTTACTCTATACCAGAAGATTTCAGAGAAACAAAGTCAATAGAAAATAACTTGTTTCATCTGCAAAGCAAATCTCAGAGCACATGTTTAACCGTGTCTCTGTAATCTCTGATCATTGCCATTGAACAGTTTTTCTTTGCTGTAACATACTGAGATAACATGACTTGGTTAATCATAATCCATCAGATGGGCTTGAATTTGATCGTGCTTTAAGACAGCTTTGACACAGATTTCTGGGTCCTGGGGTCAGGCAAAGTCCAAACTCTAAAACGACCACAAAAGCTGATTATAGTTGAACAAACTTAGCAGCAGCCTTACAGGGAAACAATTAATGTGGTTGTGGGGAGACATGACGCAATGTGACACCATGGCCACACAGACACACTTATACACACAATGGGTCCTTAATTAGGCAGGGGTCAGTGAAGGGGGTTACCAGAGAGGGCACGAACAGGTCATGGACAGGTGACAGAGGGACACAGGCCTGATTCATTAAAAGTTTGTGTGTATATGCCTGTTTGGAGCTCAAGAGTTTGTTGAAGCCATGACATTTGTGCCGTGTGTCTCTCGCAGAGTCCAGATAAGAAGAAAGTTTTGACATCTCAGCCGACGTTTGACAGCGAGGGTGAGAAACATCACACACTTATGGTTCTTTTTGCCCCTTTCCCTTCTCAAACAAATCAAATCCTCCTTTGTATAAAATGAAAATATCTCTTACAAAACAATCGGTGTGTTTCAGAGGAGGAACTGTACCAGAACTACCAGGAGAAGGCCTTACATAATGACTCGGATGAGGATGCTGATTCCAGAGAGCCCAAACCTGATAACGGCATTGTGGTGCAGTACAGACCCATTCGCATCTCCTGGAGCCAGCTCAGCGTGGTCAGACGTCTTCTTACATCTTTTTCACCACTTCACACCTTTAGTCCAAAGAAAAACATACATATACATGCAGGCTGTAGAGTCTTGGAATGCTAGTGCTGCGAAGAATGCTGTCATGTCCAGTTTGGCCACAGTCCATACCCATCTTCCTACTGTTTCTGCCTCCCTCTTCCCCTAGCCCTGTTTACCAGGGAGTACAGTAGCATTTCTTCCAGGAGTCGGGTGGGCAGTGAGGCAGACAGCCAGCCAGACCCACTGGAAGTCTTGGAAGCACTGCTGGGCCTGATGCCAGTGTGTTGGCAAACGCTACACACTCGTCAGAGTGCAAATATGCTTAAAATGTTGCCCCTACAGAGAAATGTGGTGGCTCTGCATTACATAATATAGTTTAGGGGTTGGATTGGAGGGGTAGAGATATACAAGGGACAGGAATTGGGCTAATTTGGTTTTCTTCTTAGGCATTCCCATCTGTTTGTTTACTTCTTGAGGAGGGAGCAAAAACAGAGCCAGGGTATTACGAGGCGCAATTAGGACAAGTCCTGGGTAGAGAATGATAAGCACACTGCCTCTAATTAATGGCAAATTGGATTAACAGTTGAAAAACTTTAGAAAATGTGTGTTTTTGTTCTTGTTTTCCCAGCAACACACTGATGTGAAGTGAGCTGCGACACTTATCAAGCGTATCTGGACTCTTAAATCTCTTCCATCACAGCTGCTTTACAGCTGTGGATCTGTTGCTGTGAATTTGTTTGGCCAGGCAGAGCACGACGTTACGCCATGGGATTTTTCATAAGCTTTCCGAATTAGTTGGGAAGGACTGGCATAACAATTGTGTGAGAGGAAATTAAAGATGTGTTAGTTCAAGTGAAGCCAAGAATCAGATACACAAGCTGTCCTCATCCTTGCCTATCTAAAACGTATTTCCTCTCTCAACCCCTCCCTTCTCTTCATGTCCCTGTAGCACCTTTTGACATTTAGGGTCGATGAAAGGTTACATCCCTAATTTTAACATTTTCGGGAATCACCACCTGTAGTCTCAGAAGGTTTGGCAACACCCAGTGAAACTGCCAACAGGGTAAAGTTCAATTGGCACGATAGGAACACAATAAAAAGCACAATCAGGCCTGGTATTGATAGGGTATTTTTCTTATATGGAATGTTGAAGGTTTCTGGGTGCAAGAAATATAAGGAACTACAAGTGATGTTTGCTCTGCTGCCGGTTTGTTTGTTTTCAGTGTTTGTTTTAGGCTGCAGGGTAGATACTACAGAGAAGGAAGCATCCTGCAGGAGCAGTATCACTTCATTGTGTCTCTCTACCACAAAAAGGATGAGAAGCTAGTTGAAGTGAGAGAAGATAGGCTCTCAGGTGTTGATCCTGCATGTGGGATCTGGTGACGTACAAAGCGAAAGTGCCCCGGGTCAGATTAGTTACATTTAGTGAAACATAAGACATGGGCACGTTTTTTTATTTTTTATTCAACCCTGTTTGTAAAAGAAGGCTGATTAATTCAATAGCACACCGCACCCAGCCCTTTCCAAAAGACTGCTCGGTTTCAATCTTGTTCAAATAGGCCAAATCTCAACAACAGCCAAATACCAACACCTGTACAAGCTTAAGGTTGTACTCTTTCTGCCAAATGACATTTAGTCTCCAGAGTGTTTTAGTTACTGCACATTTCCTGTATTCACTTTCCCCATGCCTCTTTATTGATGAATTATCTTTTATTTTCCACAAGAGCTTTATTAGCCGTCTGTTCACTGAGGTATGCAAAGTGCTCTTTCATTTATGTGTGAAGACAACAGTTGTGCAGAAACGCACACATGAACCCACATAGGGTTTCTGCCCTGGAACAAGTGACGTACTATCTGAAATCTTTTCATGACTTAAAAATCATTCTCCTCATATCTTCTTCTCACAAATTGTCTTTCTTCTCCAGGTTAAAAAAAGTGGCCTATCAGAACGGATGAGCCAGGAGGATCGCAAGAAACAAGAGGTAGGATTCACATTTGAATCAGATTTATGGATTGAGAAGGGTGATGATTCAGACGGAGCTGGATGAAAAGTTAAGAGATGTAAAACAATGGGGGAGTACGGCTGGACTCTAGACCAATAAAAAAGCCATTAAAGGAGCACAACTGGAAACAAGCACAATGGGCTATTATAACCTTGAAGCAGATTTACCTCAAAGGGAGGGGAAAGACGACGTTTCAATGAGTACTGACCTGATTTTACATCACGTGGAGAATGACAGGACTGATGAGTAGAAACATGACACAAATGAAAGTATTAAGGTGTGCGTGTGGTATTGTTTAATAGCATTCCACACATTATGGTAGAGTACAGCTATGTCAAGAATGTTCATGACAGAGACTTCTGTCATGGAGCAAGTAAGTGAGTCAGGACTAAAGCAGGCAAAGTCAGCATCTGATGAAATAAACATAGTAATGATATATAAAAACAACCCCAGCCCTACCCCTTTAACTCTCTGAGTTTCTTTTCACTCCACCCCAGGCCATTTTCGAGGTGATTTCCTCAGAGCACTCCTATCTCCACAGCCTGGAGATCCTGATCCGTATGTTTAAGAACTCTGCAGAGTTAAGTGAGGCCATGACCAAGACTGAACACCACCACCTCTTCTCCAACATCACCGACGTCTGTGAGGCGAGCAAAAAGTAAGTGCATGGCAGTTGCAGCTTTTGTTTTGTTGGTAGATTTATTGTCATTTTAATATTATTGTCTTTTTTTCCCCCTGATTGACAGGCTCAGTGTTAAATAATAAATGTTGGTATTTACATGCGGCTTGGTTATTTGGGCTGCCCTTTTTACGTGATGCAATGCTGTGGTTTGTGGTCTTGGCTGATGAACTGGATATTTTGACTAATTCAGCAGCACTTAACAGTTGTTAGACATGGCTTTGTCTGTAAACACTGTTTATTGTATGGTGGGACCATTCCTTGGTCCCCTGACGTGGTACCTATAGTAGGATTTCTTTTCAGTGTTGAGGGATCGTGGGTAGGCTGCACTAAGCTGTTATCTATGTGTACTGTATGGGAGGTGGCATGCTGACGGGCAGAGAAAAAGCCTCAGAAGAAGCAAGAGGCGAAATGAGGAAATCAGCAAAGATAAAAAGATGATTTTGTGTCACTGTCGACTCATCTTAACTGTTCAAGAAAACTTCAAAACATTGAATTAATAGGGCTTGGAATCTTTGGGTGTCTCACAATTCGATTCGATTTCGATTCTTGGGGTCACGATTCAGTTGAGAATATATTTTTTTATTCTGGATTCATGATTCAAAGTCTATTTTTGAATTAGTCCATACTTCAAGATCTCCTACGGTCATCTTTGAGACTGGCTGAATTTCTTGCTGCTCCATTTGGCATTCTACTGAGTTGAAGAGCTAGCCTTAGCACGTAGCAGCGAGTGACTGATTACTCAAAAATAAAAACGATTTTTGGAAGTTATGACTCTAATTCAAATCTCAGAAGATAAGAATCATTTTCTTCCCACCTCTACTGATTAAGAAGGTGTTTTGTCCTTTTTTGTTTTTGTTGGTAATAGCACATGTGTTAGCATACATGTGCTGCTATGACTGTGAGTTTACCCCTCTATCACGATTTACAGTCTATGAGTATGCACTGTTAATGACATTCATGGCCTGGGTACCATGTATTTCTAAAGATCCCATAATCTAATAGAAGCACTCATACATGAGAGGCCATGAAGGATGTCACTGTAGAAAACAGTGCCGCCTCAGCAATAGCTTCACTTCCCTGGGCTCCATTATTTATACAAATGATTGACAGACGCATTACTGAACTCATGTTCTTTGTTACTGTAGCTCACATGTGCTGGTGCTTTATGAGATTGCAATTAAATATATTAACAACTATTTCAAAACTAAACCCCATGTCTTTCTGTGAAGTTCTTACTGCAGTGATGGACTACAGACTACACAGTCAGTTCAAGGTTTATAGTCTTTTCACGCTTTCCCTCCATGTGCCCTCGGCTTCACTGAACCTACTCTGCAACTAGTTGTAACCACGGGTTTGAGGGTTAGATTTCAAGATTGTAATTGTACAAATTCATTATATGTATAACTTAAAACACTTCTTAAATACATTTATTTCTGTAGATTTTCTGCACATGTGGATTGACACATATATATTCACACCTCTTACCTACTTTTTGCATGAATGGTGATATCTGTAAATTCCTCAACACCAACAAGTACTCAGACGTGTTGCAGCCCATCTCTCTCCCTTTTAGGCTACATGAGACACACATTGATGCCATACTTTACCTTCCTCACCTTATAATATGTAGACCTGCATAGCTTCAGGAAGGGCAGACAGACGAATTGAGCAGCAGCTCTTCAAATTGGCCTGAAGCACAGGTTGAACAAGTTTTTCTTTTAACTTGGAAGAGAAAGTCACGGCTTTGACTTTAGCCTTTCATAAAACAACTGCAGAAAATATTTACATATCTGCCGCCTTGTCTGTAGTCTGTTTAGTCTGTACGTAATGGGGCACGTGTTGAGGTATTTTCAATCCACTACTAATTGCATTTCACTTGCAGCCCCGGGACATTACATACGTCCCTGCGACATACAACACCTTGGCATACAGTATTGTTTAGTAGTCACAGATAGAAGGCTTCAGTTTATATTTAATAATCTTAATAATCACCCTCACTCTGGGCATTTCCCTAGTTTTTCTATTTGAGATGAACTCAACCTCCCTTGACTTCTCCCCTCATGGCAGCATGCTGTTATTGGGGTCAGTGAGTTTTGCCTCAGGAGGGAGTGCAGAACTGAACTTGAGCAGCCTTGAACTGTGAAACTCTGAATTCAGATCTATGACATCGGCCAGAGGGCAGGTCAACATGCGTGTGGGTTCTATGATGCTGTTTGCTCGTGCCCTTATTAGAAAGGGTAGAGTAAAAAAAGTAAGGGGTCAGGCATGGACACAAGGCTGCACAAGAAGCATTGTTTCCCATAGATCGACACAGCATCCTATTTGTTTCGAGTAGGTAGGGATAGGGATCTAGAGGTGCTTTTGCAGATGAGCTCAAACTCAGTCCAACTGGTCAAGGTCAGCCTCCTGTGTCTGTGCGACAGCGTCCTGTTTGTCACCATGGATCCTGCATGCAGAAACACTTATTCTCTTGAAACGGTTTGTGTGGCGTGCCGTTAAACTGGCCATCTGCTGGTGCTCAGGAAGAGGAAAAGCCTCTGTGTTATGGTTAATGGTAGGCTACATCTATTTTAAGAGGCAGGGGAGTACCTTTTGTGATCTTGTTGCGGGGTTTAGACGAAAGGTGTTGGCGGTTCCTCCTTCCTTCCTGACTTTGACTTCCTGAATCTGTCTTTGCATCCTATATTTTCCCCAGGGTGAGATGAGTCGTGATTTAAAAAAAAAAAAAAAAGTATGCTTCTGACTCAAGCTGTTGCCATGTAAGGTATGAATCCCTGACACACTAACCCGTATTCTTCATCCTGTGTTCAGGTTTTTTAAGGAACTGGAGGAAAAACACCAACAGAACATAGTGATCGATGACATCAGTGACATTGTTTGCAGGCATGCTCAGTCCAACTTTGATCCCTACGTCACATACTGCTCCAATGAAGTGTACCAGCAGAGAACGCTTCAGAGGCTTGTGTGAGTGACCGGGCAAACATGTACAAACAGACTCCCTTATCACATCGTACATGGATTTGATCCAACATTATTGTTCTTAACACTTTGAACCAGGGAGTTTGCTCTTCCTCCTTCCCTCTTTCTCTCAGTGTTTAAACAGTTCCTCTTTCTGAACATCTCTGTTTTTCCTTGAAGGTCCAAGAATCCTGCTTTTAAGGAGGTGCTGACCAGGATAGAGGCCCACCCGGACTGCAGGAACCTCCCAATGATCTCCTTCCTCATCCTGCCCATGCAGAGGATCACCCGCCTGCCCCTGCTCATGGATGTGAGTGAATTGAAGACATACAGTAGCATGGCCTTTGGAATTACAAGATTTTGGCTCTTACGCAACAGCTTGTTTATCTATACTGACCTGACTAATCCTCCATGAGACATTTTCTAACCTCGGAGATATTTGTGTGACCTAACATCATTCCTTCAATGGATTTAACTTCTCCTCTTACTTCCCTCCTAATGTTTTTCTCTCAGTTTCATGCTTCCTTTGGCATCACATTATGATATCCCTACTGTGCCTCCCTCTCTTTCTCCTCTCTCTTGCTCTACTTTCACCCCCCTCCCCCCTTTCTCGTCTTCCGTCAGTGTCTCCCAAGGGACTCTGGGTTTTATGCTTGTACACTCAGGCTCTTTTAGATCCTGAGAAAGTTTGGTTTCAATTCTTTCCCTTCCCACAGCTTCCTCTGGCATCAATATTTTATTAGGGCCTTTGAATAGTTGTGAGTTTATTTTGCATTAAGTTGTTTTTGTACATCTCAATGTTTTGTTTCTTCTTCCATGTGTTTCAGACAATCTGTCAAAAGACACCTAAAGACTCAACACAGTATGAGGAATGTAAGAAGGCTTTACAAGCAGTCAGCAAGGTGCGTAACCTTTTAAGGGTTCAACCAGAAATGTTGTGCGCTCATTCAGAATTTTACATTTTTGCATTACATAATTGTTAACTTTCAGAATTTTATGATACATGAATTTATATTGAAAAGCAGGAAGATTCTCTACATGCTAATTAACACTATTCTGATATTAATCAGGTGGTGAGAAAGTGTAATGAAGGAGCTCGCACCATGGAGAGAACAGAAATGATGTATACCATTAACTCTCAGCTGGAGTTCAAGATCAAGGTTTGTACACAGCATTGAATATTGTGAATTGTGACATATCCTGGATAGCATTTGTTTTGAAGAACAAAATAATTCTGCTTATTTGACATGAAGAAGCCTTAAAGTAACAGTGTAGGAAACACACAATTTGCTCTTTTGCTAAGAGTTAGCTTAGTGGATAATTGATAGCACAGTTAAACTTGTTGTTTCTGTAATTATGAAGCTACGGTCACTCACTACCATTTAGCTTAGCTTAGTGTCAAGACCGGAAACAGTGGGAAACCAAATGCCAACTGACAAAATCTGCTGGCCAAAAATGTATGGTTAAGTAGCCTACATGAGTGCCAATGACTTAATATTTTTACACACATCAACAGGACACAATAATATGAAAACTTAAGCAGCAATGTTCCAGAAAAACCTTACCTACCCTAACCCTTTTTTTTTTTAAACGGCTTTGTAATGACTTATGAAGAAGGAGAAACATCAGATGATACACACTATGCTTTTTGGTTGGGCTAACTGAGTGTAAACAGACATTTTGTTTGTTTAATGCTGCTAAGGTTCAGTACGACATTTTAGCTCCTTCCTTTAATTTGAAATTTAAAAAACGGTTTGCATTTGGTCAGGGCATGTTCAGTCTGTTTCTTGAGCTGGGGTACAAAAGAAACAAAGACAAGCTTGCCAAGCTTATCCCATGCTAGGGTCAAGAACTTATGTTACTGTTTCCAGTCCTTATGCTAGTTTAAGCTAATAGCTACTGTAGTTGTGCACTGACATGTACACACATGCTGACTGAGTAATATGAAGAAGAGGACACATAACGTCTTTCGCTGGCCGATTATCTATACACATAATGAACACAAGGCTTGGCAGGATCTAGTGTGTCTAAGTCGTGTGGGAAATAGCTGTTGGCACATTTGGGATTCACAGATGTCTTGGGAACATATTCTCAGTCTGCATAGCCAGCTGTTCACACATGCACACATTTTGCTTAAGCATTCCTTGACAGCATCAACCCTGCATACATTTTCAAACACGATCCTTTTTCCTGTTCCTTACATTCTCTCTTTCTTCTCTTCCTCCAGCCTTTCCCACTGGTCTCGTCCTCCAGGTGGATGGTGAAAAGAGGAGAGCTGAGGGCGTTTGTGGAGGACAATGGCATCTTCTTAAAGCGCACGTCCCGACAGCAGGTCTATTTCTTCCTCTTCAACGACGTCCTCATCGTCACCAGGAAGAAGAGGTGAGTTTGTGGAGCACTCTTCGGACCATGCAGGCAACCTGCCATGTTTGATTTAGGTGCTTTGATAGTCCCTTCGGTGTGCAGGCTTTGCTCATAACACACCTGTTCTAACATGTTGTGGGGGAAAGTGTAACCAAAGGCCCTTGGTCTTCACAGTGTGGGAATGTATGAACTGAACATGGTCAAGATCCTGGGTGCAGGTTGTGTCATATCAGATTCTCAATATTCTTGTTTAAACTTGTGCTGGAAAAAAATAGCCTTGTTGGAGGGAGAGCAATTATTTCAATCTATACAGAATGGAAAGTGAAACATTTGACATGCAGGAAAGACAAAAGAGCACACTATGAAGCCATTTTTAGCAAGGTTGAGGAAGATTTGAAAGCAGTATAATTACACTGATCTTCTATGCAGCCCCCTGCTTTACATGTGTGTTTATTCAGCTGAACAGGTGTAGTTACCTGAACCTGCTCGTACTTGGCATCAATTAAACACCTTGTTTTCCTGAAGCTTGGAGTGGTTTCAACATGTCACGGTGCCATGAATCATCCAAAGCTGGTAGACCTGCTCATTGTCAGCCTTTTAGCCTGTCTTTGCTTTTCTCTCATCTGTTTCTTCTAGTTTAGGACACCGGCAGTAAGTAAGCCATAAAGGAGACTTCCTCGAAATGATGTGGTTTTCATTTGCGTGTGTAGTTAGGGTGTGCGCGTACAATAGTGTTTATTTTTGCCAAAAAACGAAATAATTCCTTCCTGGGCTTCTCCCTCTCTGTCTGGTTCCGATTTTAACGCCACTCTCAGACAGAAGAATTCCTAAGAAATCGGAAAGAAAAAAAAGAAAGAAGCATTCCTCATGAAATATTTCTGGGAATCTGATCCCGGACGGGAGACTCCAGCAGTGTGTGGTGTCAGGTTTGTGTTTTGAAGAAGGATTTGGGAAAAGGCAGCGCTCTGGAATCAAGAGTGTGGATTTGTGTGTGTGTGAGTTTGAATGGGAGAAGCTGTTATAATATTGGTTCGTTCTGCGGGGAGTACTGGAGCCCTGCTGTGGCACGCTACTCTACTGCACTCCATTTGCAGTAACCAAAACAAAAACACACCAGGGCTACACAGAGGATAGCCAGGCACAGCCAGGGCACAAAGCCTCCTAGACATAATGCTTTAATAGCTCTTAAACTTGACATTATGACCCAGAGTGTGTGTAGTGCTACAAGTGTATGTGTTTGTGTGTGTCTTTGTCTATGGAGGGGGGGAGTGGAGGAGGGGGTTTAACTTGCAAGTAGTTCACTGCACTCTCTTGCAATGCAGTGATGTACTGGAGTCATTTTCCATTTGTGGCTCATTTATCATTAGCTTACATTTCTAGGAATACCATGGACACCCGAAAAATAAAAGTGAAAAAGTCAAAGCCACCGATCTTACACAGCAGAGAGAAAACATACCTGTGACCTCTGCATGTTTTTTCTATTTTCTAGGCCTGTATTTCATTATATTCAGAAGTTAGAACGTGCAATGTGTGCATTAACCCCTGTGTGTTTGTTGGCGGTAGGATTTCTAAAATAATAAAAATTATTTCTAGTTTTATAACTGCTTGTCAATCTTATCTTGAATTTCTCACATTTCTATTGGTTCATAACCAGTATAAGACCTATTAACTGTTTAAGTGCTATACAAGTTTCAAGTCCATTTACCATTTAAATGTCTGAAATCCCCACCAGAGGGTAGGTGTCAGACCAAGTGATTATTAGCTGAAACACCTTTTTATTTACATTTTACATAGCAAAGATTTTCAGTGAGTGATACGTCTGACCGTTGTTAAAAAGAAAGCAGGATGAGATTCATAACTAAAAACATTACTTTCACATGGACAGGGAAAAAAAAAAGCAGCAAAGAGATAAGTCGTATGACTTTGTTCACACCGGTTAGCCAAAATAGACACAATCCGAAAGTTCCTCAAAGGAGCTTTAAACGCGATACATATTCAACAACAGTATCATTAGCTTAACAGATCTGCTTTCAAACTTTGAAATGGAAGACTATAGAAGTGTGACCACTTGAATCCATCTCTATATCAACAGGGATTTTGTCACGCAGCGGGAAAGTGTTGATCTATTGGACTCTGGCTCGCAGGAACACTTACATAACACTGAGTTCAAACCAGCTGGCTCCTTTCTCATCTTCATGTCCCGCCTTTTTCCTTTGTGATACCGGTCATCATCTAAACATTGCGTATTGGTTGAGGTTTCTATTTCTCTCTGTTCTCTTGGTTTTCTCTTTCAATCCTTTCTCTTTCTGCGTGGGTGCAGGTCTGTTATCCCACACTTTATGCTGAAGTATTTTCCCTCTCTTTCTGTTTAGTTTGACAATGCCATAGTCTCAACACTCCTACGTTTCTACCAGAACATTATTCTCCTGCTGTGTGTGTGTGCGTGTACATCTGCATGTTCAACTTGAAGTCTTATCTCAACTCCTCTCTGGGGATTTTGTGTTGCTTCTGCTTATGTGTTGAAGAACTGGTTGTACTCTGGGAGATGGCAGCAGGCACAGTTGTGATGACGTGAGGAAGAAGCCTGTGCTATCTCTAATGGCAGAGTGATTTTCATTCAAGCGAGCCTGTGTTGATGTTTCTTGTGTGAGAAGCTCGTGAGAAGGCCAAACTCTAGCATTGGTGTCTTTATCCTATCATTTCAGTTTTGAACACCTTCCTACCACATTTTGACATATAAGAAAGCCAAACATTTATCGTATTCATGTTTCAGTTTTTGCAGTAATCCCACCCATCCCCACACATGGGAAAACTTAACCCACAAACATGTCATGACACACCCATCCCATTCCCCTGTGTCAAGTTCATGTTCAATAAACATTTCACCTGAAGTGCTGTCAGGAGAGGTTTTCTTTTTTTCACCAGTGGAAGAAAAGTTGTATATTTGATGGATTTATTATTTCATGTTTGGTTTAGGATCATTTGGTTTTTGGCTAAACCGTACTCAGGTGTTTGCAAATTAAATTCTCTAACCAGTCGATCAAAAACCATTGTATACTGCAACATTCTTTACTTTTACTCTTAATTGTATAATTTAGTTGGTTGAGTAGTGGTCAGAAATGTAGGCTATGGCTGATATTCTGTAGTGAATTTGTTTTATAATGACATATGGTGTTGTTGAAATTAGATAAATTTAGATTTGACAGCTATGTAGGCCTACTGGGCTAAATCTATAGAAGTTAAGAGTAATGAGGAATGTTCTAAAGGTGTTAGTTAGAAAATGTTCACTTTTTGCCAGACATGAGAATATATCTCGTGTGTGTGTGTTCATTGTTAATGGTTCAGTATGAAGGTAGGGTTAGCAAAGATTTTAGCAGAAGACTTGAAATAAAGCTTAGCAGCTGTTTTTTTTCTTCAAAATCTGCCCAACAGAAATAATAAAGTAATGATTAATACTTGTTTGTTTAATCCATACAACAAATCAAGTTTGTAAATGACGTTCTCTGGTTTGCTAATGATACAGTTGAGACACTAAAGCTGTCGCTTTGTTTCCGGTAATTTTGCTAAAGCTAGCTAGCTCCTGGCCCCTTAGCTTCATATATTTCACAAAAGAAAACATTGTGGTATGAATCTTGTCGTGAATGAAAATGCATAAAAGCGTGTTTTCTAAAAATGTTGACCTTTTCTGTAAAGCTTCTGGTCAGTGTGGTTAGCACGGCGCTGAGAGCAGCTTGTGGTTACGGTTGGCTGTAGCCGCTTTGGTCGGATCCTGTCTTTTCTCCATTTCCTGCCCACACCCTTATCGAATCTGTCTCTCCCTGTATTTTCTTTCTCCTCTTCCAAGAGGTCCAAGTGGTTGTTGGCAGCAGCTTTTAACCTAAATGATTGCTGGACAATAGGGGCCAATGGGTAACAGTCGAACCTTGTTGAGAGCCTTCCAACCGTGACCGTGGATTCTCCAACAAGTCGTGACCCCAGAGTCCAGAGTTTGTGTTTGGAAATGAAAGAGGGGGACAGATACGCTGACTCTGCTGTGTGTGTCAAACTGGTACCTTTGTCCCTGCCTGTGTGTGTGTGTGTGTTGAAATTGAAAACTAATGGACATGCTGGCTTACAAGAAGCTAGCTCCTGTCCAGTAGCTTCACAGCTTGGCTGTTGTTACAGTCTTGGGTTGATAAAACACATGTGGGCTGGACTACAACTCCTGTTCTTCAGAGCACTCTGAAAACACACTCACACACACACACACACACACACACACACACACACACACAAACACACACTCATTTTTCTGCAGGTTCAGCGTTACATTAGGGGTACCATGTTACACAATCAGCTCCAGATGTTATGAACTAACTCTGTGTTCTGCTAGACATGGGGTCATGCTCAGGTAAAGGTACGCGTGGGATATGTAGGCATGCATGGACTATGGAAACCATGAGGGCAGCTGATTTAGTGCAGCTTATAGACAGCTGAATGTGTGGACTTTTGACTGGCACATTATCTGAGACATAATGTGACGGCTGATTTATTATTCCAGGTGAGTTTTATTAACTACGCAGCCCGAAGACTCTCAGGGGTGGAAAAAAGCTGAAGTACCTAGAAACAAGATCTCTTCTGAAAACAATGAACTTCGATTTGATCTGTTGGAGGGAGTATTTGAATTATTTAGTGGTTCAAATTAATCAGCATATATCAAATGTAATGTTGTACTCAGTTCTTATTATTGCAACGAGACTTGTTTGTTACTTTCTTCGTAAGTTTTACATTTTGGGCTTTTTTAAATTCAAGATTTATTAGCTATTAGCTTCTTTAGAGACGTTTCTCTGCATTTTTTTTTTTTTTTTCCACAATTTCTTTTTTAGGGGGCTTTTATTCCCTTACTGGGGAAAGGACAGTGGACAGAGTAGGAAACCAAGATGAGAGAGTGGGGAATGTCCTGTGGCAAAGTGCTGAGGTAGCAGTAAACATTGCAAAACGAATGTAAAAAAAACAAAACATCAAAATGATTTCTAGATGCTTGTTAAGGCAGAAAAGCCGCTGTGAACCCTTTAAAGTAACAGCCTGTTTTATGTATCTGGATACTTAAACATGATTTTTCCGGATTACAGTGAGATCTAATGAGAGGTCTCTGTTTCCTTCTTTAGTGACGAGAGTTACACTGTGATCGACTACGCCCTGAGGGACCAGATCTGGGTGGGCTCCTGCCAGTCTGCGGATCTCAACCTGTCACCGGTCAGAAGCACCACCAGCATGCTGAGCTCACGGCAAGCGGGCGCCAGCCATCTTTTCCGTCTGTCTTTCCGAAGCAACTACTCGGGTGAAGATGTGTCCATGATCCTGGGGACAGAATTGATGTGAGTAACCTTTGTCCTTCTTTATATTACACTGTTGTTGTTTCACTTGCGTTTCAGTTACAGATTTACTGCTGTTATGGAACAGGTGAATCATTTCTTTTCCTGACATAACAGTAACTCTGCATCAGTTTTGTTTTAGTAGGTCAGGGAAGTCACAAGGTTGGATATAATGGTTTCCAGTAATGAAAGATTAATGTTTCATTTTTTTTTTCTTTAAGCTAAATGCTTGACTATTTAATAAATAATACCATGGGTCTTTCTTTTCTCCTAAAATTGGATGCCCAAACTTTGAACTTTCCTTTGTGCGCTTTTAATGAGCTTTTTCACTTAGTGTAAGAAAATCCCTTCCCCACTTACTTCTTGGCTCTTTTTCAGGTCCATTATACCTCACATGGATAGTTTTCATCTACTCTCAAGATTCAATGTTGAGCCTTACTGTTTTTTTTGTTTATATGATAGAGGAGATTAAAATGATGAGTCTGTTTTTCAGTCAGCTGCTGCAGTCGTACTGTAACACGTACCGGCTGTGCAAGATGATTGTTTTGTTGACTGAGCATCTTCCAAGTCAGCCATCTATTCTGGGGACTACAACTGTCTCTGCTTAAAGTCTACTGTTTGTTACTGTAAATTTATGGCATATGCAACATGAAGGATTACTCACACATCTGACCTAGAAACAGAGTCATGAAGTTCCTTTAAACTCGTGCCTGTAGCTGTGTTGTTAAAACTCAAACCACCCTCCCCATTCATCCCTCCACCCTAACTCTCTTTGTACAGCAAACAGAAAAGCGAGGTTGTTTTTCGATGGATTATATAACCCCCGCAAAAACAAAGAGGATCTGTGATATACCGCACTTCACACGTGGTATATTTGTTCTAGTTAAGGTCGGGAGTTGTGGTCCATGTGAGCACACGTACACAAATGCAAGCTCGCTCAGATTTCACTGTAATTATTTGCTGTGGTTCAAGGCTTTGTTAAGGAGTGTTTTCTTATGCACAGGGCCTGTTCCTCCTCATTCCTGTGCACCCCGAGAGCCTTCCTCTGTATTCTCATTATAGAAGGTGTGGTTTCTGGTGAACTGTACTAAACACTGCTTGGAAATCAAGCCTTTTTGTAGCATCAGCAAAAAAAACTTTACGTAGGTATCAAATCCTATTCTGTGACTTCAGAAGTAAATGTGAAGCTGACTTAAAATAGATCTAAAACTGCAGCTTTAACTTCTTTTTTTTCTTTTTTTTTTTTATCCGTGAAGGTAACAGAATGGATTCAGGAAATGAGAATGAAACATGTTAACCTTACAGCAGGAATAGAGACATAATATTGTTGTTGTATTGGTATTGGTCCTAAAATGTGGAATTAGTGAGAAAGCTATACTCAATTCACTGATATAATACCATGATTGATTAGTATTACCCTCCCAAAAATGGTCTTTTTTCAGGTAAGTCATGGTGCGACTGTAACAGAAAATATCTTCACGGTCCTAACAGAGAGTATGATGAAGCTTTTCAAAGTGAAATTAACTTACAGCTCCATGGCTAATACGAATGCATAAAGGTGAAAGCATATCAGAGTGTCACCTGTGCGTCTTGTCCTTTTTTAACCCCTCACAAAGGATTTGATTTGTTGTTACACTGAATAAGATCAAGACGCACACTTGCCCTATTATTCTATTCTATCTATTATGAAAGAAAGAAAACCATAGAGGAAACCGGCTTCTAGACAGCAGATATACATTTGTATCACTCTAGGGAAATATCTCATAACATTTAGTATCCATCCTCTGATCCTTTTAAGTGGCCTGCTCCTACTCTATAAAACCACCATGCTCAGTTTTGAGGGGTTTTCCTTATTACTTCAGGAATGAAAGCTACTTTTCTGGTGCAGTAACATTGGGTAATTCTGGCATTATCCCCCATGCTGTTAGTAAGTAAAGTACCACACAAAGCAGCAGCAGTAATAGTATTAAGTGTGACAGTGATTGTCTTCTGAAGGAGGTACTGGTAATCTTTTTGAATTGACTTTTTTGTGTGCTGCCCACTCAGCCCTGTTCACTACCCATGTATACATGAGGGGGGGGGTCTCCTCATACAACTGCCCCTCTGTGTCGTGTGTGTTGTGGAAAGCCCCCAGACGGCCCCCCCTTTGATGGCTGGGGTCTCGGGGCCCATGGCTTAGTTGTAATTGTGTATGTGTGTGTATGTGTGTGTGTGTGTGTGTGTGTGTGTGTGTACTGTGTATGGTGCAGCGCTCCTCTCACTGTAGTTCTGAATGGGCACTCTGGCAGCCTTCCATTGTGACAGTGGTTGCTAGGCATTGTTTAAGCTGTTGCCTAGCAGCAGCCCTTTGTTAAATGGGCTGTTTCCCACGACTATCCCTCCCACTCACACGTTATCCCCCCCAGACTTTTCCTCACCATTCCATGTCTCATCTTTTCGACAGCGGCCGGTGTCGTCTCTTTGTTTGTGATGACCAGGGAATAACTTCCTCTTCCTCCGGCCGCTCATCCCAATTTAATGATCTAACACATCATGACACCTGGAAGTGGTGTCACATGAGTCAGACTATTTTGGTCTTGTATCAGAGTTAAATGAAGCAAGGGGGAGCACATGAGCATTTGCAATAGACGCATTGTAAAGGTCTGACTTTATCGCAATAAATATGAAAAATAATTGAACGTAAACAAGAAATGCTTATTCACACCGCATGCATACATTTAACCTCAGGAATAGATCCCTTCGGATAATGGCTATGCTTTCACATACTGTACCTTTTATTGCAGTCAGATGAAGCTCAGCTACCTTAAGTTTAATTTGTGGTAGATCTGTTATTTATTTTGGATTCCAGAGGGACATGATATGCAAACACAGACATTGTGTTAATCATGGAAAAACAGCAGATTGACATAAAAAAAAGCTGTGAATTTTATCACAAGATTGAACAATCTTATCGCACATCGCATATTCTTCTCGTCATTTTGAAAACTAATTAGGATTTTGATTATTTGTTTAAAAGTTGGAAAATTGCACCAAAAAGCGCTTGTGTGTTCCAGAAACCAGGGTTAACAAATAACAATTATTTTAGTTACAGATGAATATATTCATATATATCTTTTACTTTAAAGTCATGACAAAGTACATCAATGCATCGTTCATATTTGATTTTTATGGAAAAGTTTGGGGCCAATAATTAAATGATTATTTACTGATTACTAAAATGTTTTAATTTGTTGTTACTTTACCTCGTGGGCTTATTGATCGTATGTTCCATCAGAGTGGAGAGCTTTAGAAAAGGGTTGATCTAAAATGCAACGTCCACTAATTTGTTATATGACAATGTCGAAAAGATGAGCTTTCTCGACGTTTGATTTCTTGATTGTGAGAGCAGATAGATGCATACAAAATAGTTACATTTACTGACAAGCTTCTGTGTTTCACATCCCTACCTATACCCTTCACTCCACTGCTGTATGTAAGTGCAACTCAAGTTGGGCTCCAATGTGAAATTCCACACATTCTGACCAGAGGCGGGTCTGTGTTTTTGAATTTCTGTTTAAATTGAACTGTAGAAATTGTCCGTTTCTTGGTTTGGTGAGTGTGGGTGTTTCTGCTTTCAGTTCCATTTCTCTACCTGCTAAATCATTTAAGCCCCTTTTCCATCAGTGTGTAAGGTCTGAAAAAGCTGCATACAGTAGATGAATCCTTGACAACAGCAGTGACATAACCCATCAGGAATTCAGCCAGACGGCTGGAATCAGAGATGGCACAAGGACATCTGTGTGTCTTTGTCAGACAGTCTCTCTGGCAGCCTTTGCTTCTTTTCTGTCTGTGTCCTCTTCCTTTTTTCTCTGTATGCTTTTTTGTTTAGTGTGTGTACATGCCAGTGCTGCTTCCCCATGACCCCGATGTCCTGTCCAGAGTTGGATAATAGTGCTTCTCTACTAGTGGAACAGAGGAGCTACAGAGGAGCTACAGAGGTCTGCAGCAAAACACTTCTGTTAGTAAAATATGCAGAACACCAAACAGTACCGGTTACATAACAGCACTAACCCGAGAAGGCTGTCTGTACTTCTGGTGCACACTTTGGCATTGTTTTTTATTATTCTTTTTACTCAGTCTGCTTTGGTTTATGTAAGTGAGATTTTTTTTCCTAATATGTCTGCTTTTATATGATCTCTTGCTGATGGGAATTGTTCCCTCTGCCTGGGAGTTTCTCTGGCTGGTTGACATGTCATTCTCTGTGCCCTAGATTCATCTCTGACCTGTAGTTTAATAGGAAAAAGAGGGTGGACTTGGTTGAGAGTAAACAAAGTGATAGGATTCAACAAAAAGGGTCTCAGAGGTGAGGGAGAAATCCATCTGAAACGAGATGAAAACCGTCGGTCTGGCAATGATTTGAAGTTGGCAGTGGAAGGAAAGTTAGAAAGAGGCTGTCATCGCTCTTTATCTGCTTATGTGAAAGAGGTTTTGCAGAGCAGCAGCGAGGCCTTTTCTTCTCTTCACATGTGAAACCAGAACCTCTGACAACAGATTTATGATTCTTGACATTCTCTTTCACATCGGGGATGAATGGTTGGAGGCAGAGGGAGCTTTACTACCACGAAAACCACTGATCCTGCACAGGCCTGCAGTCATTATGAGGCGAAGAGGGCAAGCACCTGCTGCAGTTGGTGCATAATGACGTATCCACATAAACGTACACATACATACCCTCACAGTCTAAAAGGTACCTGAACATCTTTAGGAATGTCCCTCACATTCCTTAGATAACCATTAAGTGCTTGTCAAACATGTGGGGTAGCCTGTTTGCGCCTGTGCTGGATATATTGAATGTGTGTAGGTTCTTTAGTTCCAATAAGGTATCTCAGCTGTTAAAGCATGAGAAGGCGACCTGTCATGGGGGGCGTGTTGTGTATGTGCACATGTATCTGACTGACAGCATGTGTGTGTCCAGCTGTCAAAAGCGGCGACTAACAACTGCCTTTCCCACAGTGGAGCTCGGAAGTTGAGGGGAACTCCCACATTCAGTAGAGATAAAGGACCAGGCTCTTTATAGAGGACGGTTTTAAGTGTATTACCTTTAAGGTTGTCAATTAAATAATGAATCGCAGTGCAACACAGGAAACCACGCGATACTGATATCCCGATGCAGCGATTCTGCGACGGTTAGTATATTGCAAGACGATCATATAATGATACATCACATCAAGATACATCACAGTGTATTCTTATAAATCAAGAGACTTGTGAGTTGCGTCGATTTTGGTGCCCACTGTGGAACTTGTAATCTCTATACTGATCATGTCCTGTTCATGTGTATGTGGTGACTCATCCTGCTTTCTCTGACAGTAAATCGTATTACTCACTGTAAATCTTCACTCCAGTAAATGTAAACAAAGACGTGCTGTAACTCACCTCATCTTACACCTACCCGGGTGGCACAGTAACATGCAAATAACTATAGAGGAATAATATGTTTTCCTGCTGATAGGCTTTGTGGACACTATGGATGCATCAATGTTCCTTTTAGTCTTCTTAAACACTTAAAAAAAATGTTTCGACAAAAAACAGTGGAAAAAACTAAACGAGTGAGTGATTACTTTCCACAATGAATAGCAAACCCTCATAGTGTGTAAAAACAAAGCCATGGGGACGATGGCCTAGCCGTTACATTGCTGCCCATGCACAGAGGCTGTAGTCCTCCAAGTGGGCGACCCAGGTTTGGATTTGAAATGCTTGGACTCGCATTTAATTCCCCACTCTCCCCAATTTCCTGCTATCAAATAAAGGTATAAAAGTCCCCACCAAAAAAAAACCCCAAAGCCATAGGGATATTATAAGTATTGTACATTTCAATGCTTTTGGCTAGTTTTACACAAAAGAGGTGGGGATCTTCCTACTGTGGACGTTCTTAGTCATAAAGAGAGCTGATTGGTCTGATGAAGTTTTTTTTATTGGGACTATAAATCTATCATTAAACTCCAAAGGCCACACTTCACCACTCATTATACTGCCTCATGGGTGAACTTTAATGGACTCTTGAGTTAATGATTTTATTTGAAGGAATACTTTCTGGTGAAGTCACACGGTCCAATCAGTTGTTTAGGGATGACGTGACCCCACTTTTTTTTTTTTTTTTTTAACAGCCTGTGTGTCCTAAAAAGGTTCAAAACTGCCCGTGTGCAATGGGAACAAAAAAAAAACAAGGTCTGACTCATGGGACTAGCCCATTTGAGGTCCACACACACAAATGCTGCTCTCAGTCCAATAGTCTGTGCATGTTGTACCCATTTGCATGATGCTGAGTCACATAGGGGCCTCAAAAGCCCCTTTCTGCTTCATTTCCTGAACACCCTCTGTCCCTAACTCGTTCCAAATCCTCACTAACCCCCCTCAGTAGCTGATGAGAACAGGTGAAATGAGAGATAGAGTTTCTTGGAATCTGACCTGTGCGACTCCACCTGCTTTTTTTTCCCCCTGCCATGAAACACACACACACAAGAGAGAAAAAGAAAGCAAAACCAGGTCTGTGCCTCTGGAGAATCAGCCTTTGTGTTTGTTCTCCTCACTTCTCCTGTTGACAGCAAGAAGAGAGGAGGGAGGAAAGGCAAAACCTGCTGGGCGACACAATTATCCTTATTGTAACCTCAATAGCCTGCTATCTTGTGTGCACGGAGGCCGGCTTAGATTTAAGTTTCTTGGTTTTAGAACGTAGACGTGAAAGCAAAGCTTTGTCAGATCTGCAGCAAAAAAAACATCTCTGAACAATTAAAAAGTGAGTTGTCGGAGTTTTAAACTTCATAAAAAAACGTTCCATGTTGTTCAGATGTATTTTAGCACTTAAACAGTTGAATAACTGTTCTATCTTTTTGTGTGCTTTCAGGAATGAGCGTGCTCGATGGATCAGCGCTCTGGGTCAGAATGTCAACAAGGAGAAGAGTCAGGACAGAAAAAGTAAGTTCCCACACACACTCACCTCCCTTTTTTAAGCTTATTGCACCACCTTGTGGGTATTAAATGAAACTGTTTTTTCGTTGCTTAATTTAGAAGCAATTGGCTTTTTTAATTCAGAAAAGCTGTGTGTAACTTGCTCATTGTTGGATACCTTGTTTGTGCTGATGTCTGTCTTGGCCAAGAATATATTTCTATGCTCAACAAGGTTTCCCTGTTTCAGGCTGAAAATATAATTCGACTTGTGTGTTTGTTTTAGATGCCATGCAGGTCGAGGTGATCAGAACTTACACAGCCAAGCAGCCGGACGAGTTGTCCCTGCAGATAGCTGATGTGGTTTTGGTGTCGCAGACTGTAGAAGACGGTACGTCAGCTCTTAAATGTCTTTTTTTATCCTTACTTCGTCCTCTAACTCTTTCTACTCAGTCACCTCGCTTAGTATTCCTCTCAGTTTTTACCTTCCTGTATTTACTGCATCCTTTCATCATTTATTTTTAAATATATACTCTCCTCTTTTATGTGTCTAACATAATGGTGCGTCAAACCTGTTTGAAGATGTGTATTTTAAATCCAGAAAACGCTGGAAGAAGCTAAATGTCATTTCCCTTTTTATGGTGACCATGGCAACCGACTTTCATGTTAAAGAACAGACGGCGTAGCGCATCAAGAGAAGAGAACAAAATAACAAAAGCAGATGCATAAGGTGGCTTTTGAATTTATGTATCATTATGATTTCTCCGTCTCAGGCTGGTACGAAGGCGAGCGACTGCGCGACGGAGAGAGAGGGTGGTTCCTCGCCGAGTGTGCCGAGGCGATCACATGCCAGGCCACCATCGAGCGCAACATGCAGAGGATGGACCGCCTGCAGGGGCTGGAGACTAATGTGTGAACCGGCTGAGAGAGGGTGCTTAGACCACAGAGGGGCTCTTCTGAAAATCTTTGACACACAAGTGACCTTTTTTTTAAAAAGCAGCCAACCCTAACGAAATACTGTTAGATCCAAAGGGATCTAACAGAGACCAGTACGGCTGCTTTCTGGACCTCAGATCAGCTTCCACTGTCTGAGTTTGTCAAAGCAAACACAGGGGAAGAAGAGAGACTTTCTTAATTACCGGTCGGTCTCTGTGTGGGTGGACTGGCTCCACGGTGGGATCTATCACATTCATTAATTCCCTTGTTGGTTAGAAAACTTCACACCCACAGATCCCTGCTGCATAAGAAGCACCAGTGTGGAATGTGTACATTTTTGTTATCTTTTCAAATATATTATTTCTTTTGGTGAAAGTGATGTGCAATGAAATAACTGCGACTACAACCCTCCCCCCACCACCACCACTACCATAGGTGGTAAAGTAGACCAAATAGTGTCTGCGCCTGATGTGTGCTGTGTTAATGAGACTCGGGTCTCGAGCTTTGCCAGTAACAATGACACGATGAAGATGTTGATTGTGAAAGTGATAAGGCTGCAGCGTGGGGTTTGGCAACCGATTCTGCACAGCGTTTGGGTTCATGTAGAAACTTGTATCAGTGTTTTTGTAGCATCTGTTAGTGATGAAAGTATTAAAGTGATGATTAAAAGACAACATGATCTGGTTTTGTTAAGCTGGAAAAAGGAAAAGAAATGAATCTGAAGCCCATGGCACTTACTGTAAATAGGATAAGTCATAATTATTTGGATGATATAAAGCCAGCTGGGAGTTATCGTATGTCATCTGTGGGCTAAGTATCTGTTTTCTTACCTGGCTGTTTGTCACCAGTTAATGTCAACACCATGAATCAAACTCTCCGGGTTCTGCCACAAACGCCATTTTTCTCTCCATCCACTCAATGATTTGGACAGCTTGAAATATTGCACACACTTGATGCCAGCCAAGGGTGTATTTCTGAATATCTCCCTTAGGATTTATATCTGTGAAGTTCAAGAGGAAAGCTGAAATGAATTTTGGTGTGAGCCCACAGTGGGTCTGGAAGAGATGAGCTGCCCAGCTGTCCAGGGTGGCTGATCTTTTCAGCCCAGCCTCAGGAAAAAAAAAAGTGGCTTGGTCAGTGTGGCCATAACGGCCATCTATTAAGCCAACGCTGCTCTGGCACCTGCCCAAAGTGTCACAACGGCAACTTTTGAGCGACATGAAGCGAGGTGTGACAGTAAGCCGGCAGAGCAGCCAGCAGGAAGGACACCAGACAAAGTTCAGCACTTTGCACTCAGGGAAAAATTAGCTCGGCGCATGAACTGACCTGGATTTCAATCACTTTCTGTAACTATTGTGATTCCTCTGTGCACATGTAAATATGTAAAACAAGCCTGAATTGTAAAATGTATGTTTTCCAAAAGACAGATTTATATCGAGAAACTTGCTTTGTAAACCTTATATATTTGAATCTGCCATCATTAATAAAAAAGCTTTATCGCTCGAGGTCTGTCGTGTATTCTTCAAAATCAATACATCTCTTTTCCCTGCAGAGGCTCGACTGCTAGACAGGCCAAAGAGGAGCACTCTACTTTATTCCTCCAGCTAGTCACTTTATGAATGTCATCTTAGATGAAGCTCTGACGGAACATCCTTTATTTATCATGCAGTCCAGTAAGTGACATTATTTTTTGTTTAAGCAAAGAAAGCAGCTACTGGGTGTTTTCAAACATGGATTGGTCCTTGCATGATCTGACCAGATAGGGAAAAATAAAAAATTACATTGGGAGTTGTTTAAGTGCAGTATCCAGAACTCTTTAATCTTGGGTTTGGCCTTCAGTCTTTTCCGAGGCTCTGAGCCGGTCATATCTATTAATCGTCGTCGTCATCTTCATCATCTTTGTCATTAAAGTAAGTGTGATGTCCTCTGGGGGCAGACGGCCACGGTCTGTCGTAGCCCTGAGCGCTGCCTGACGGCTTCTCCTGCGTGGTGATGAGGTCTATGATGGCTGTGATGACAGCGCAGTCTTTGGACTGACGGTTCTGCCAGTCCACAGGAGCAGGGCTCCGGATCTTCTCCTCTAGCAGAGAATCCAGCTCTCTCTTTAAACTCTGTAGAAAAACAGACAGGAATCAGAGACAGAGAACACTAGTAGCATCCTGACTGAGCTGACCGCAGAGAGCACCCTACACTTACTTTGACGAGGTGAGCGATGCGCGCTGGCGATCTGAAGACGATCCACTTGTCCACCGCGATGGTCTCCTGGTCCTCCTCTGTCTGGATCGTGATGTTTCCTCCGAAGAACAGGAGGGAGAACGGGGACACCTCGGTGCAATCGTACAGGAAGATCTGAGGACATGGGAGGAGAGACGGCGCGAACACACCATGACATTAGTTTAACCAACGAAACACACAGTGACAGGGAGCAGCATCATTATGACACACCGACAGCTACTCTGTGGTGTGGGCTGGAGGTGTCCCATTAGTGCTGGAAAGGCTGAGCGAGGTTGGGAATGCATTTCAGTGCCTCCAGTGTTAAGAGAAATGTCATCATGCAGAACACAATGTAAACATTTTTAAAAGCAAACTCGAGACCTTTCTAGTACCGCTTTGAACTGAATCTCATTTCATCTAGTTTTATTACATTTTGAACCTCCTGTGTTTCTTCATTTAGGATAAATGGTAGCGTTTCCTCAGTACCTGTTCTGATCTAGTTATTTTTTGGATTGTGGGATAGGGGTGGGGGAGGGAGTCATGTTGATGTTTGATTTATGTTCATGTAAAGCACTTTGGGATACATTTGTTGTATGAAAAGTGCTACACAAATAAAGTTTGATTGATTGATCACGCCACGTCTGTGTGTCTCGTAAATGTGTTACACTACTTTTCATCAACTTTCCGTTGCGTTAAACTAACCGACGGCTGCTTATGTCAAGTGATTTGATTTAAATGCAAATAGAAAGACAGCAAAGTTTCAACCGATTAACGGTGAGTGAAACTCCTTCTAAAAATACTTTAAAATGCCGAGCGTTTCAGAGAGCACATGGAAGATGTGCAGATGGAATGTAATGCACTAATCTGTATGCATGCATACACTCACAAAAACCGTCTGGCTTTGAGGTCAAAAGCAACAAGAGACCTCAGTCCCAGCAGAGAGAGTCGGACAGTGTGAGAAATGAGTGTCAGAGAGATGAAGGTAAAGATGTGTAGAAGACAACGGATGTGTAACACAAGGAGAGAGCAGGGACATCTGCATGTGCCCCATGAATGTGTAATGTAACAGACCATCAGGGGCGAGTGCGTCAGTGGAGATAAAGTCTGACATCATCCCTCGCATTCAATTCTTTTAAAATTTATACAACCTCTATCCAGTACTTCCTGCTCTATTTCAGAAAACAAATGACCTTGACCATCTCCCACTCTGTGAATATTGTTTTCTATTATAATACACACACATGCAGAGCCTTGAACACATGAAAAACCTCTTACATACGACTGGGGGAACAAAAAAAAAACTCATGGTGGAAATAATGATGATGACATCCTGAAAGGCATTTATTTTTTCATTATGATGAACGCAACAAAGTAAGAGACTTGAGTTACACGAGGCAATCAGGGAGGACATGAAAGGGTTTTTTTTTTCTCCTGCTGCAGAGCGTTCACAAACAGAAACCTAACAGAAACAACAAAGATGGAAGGTGTGGGGGGGGGGGGGGGGGGGGGGAGTCAGGTAGCTGCATTGACCTTCCCTTCCCACCCACCTCCACGACCATCTCTTACATTGTGTTTGGAAGCTTTGAAGCACAAGAGCCTTTGAGAGTTGAAAGGAAGCCTTTTAATCAAATATTCATTTAGTGCAAAGCTCCTGCGGCACCGCTCTCAACCTTTAACCGGCGGTCCTCCGTTGCACTTACACGCCGAAATCAAAACGAGACAAAAAACAGCACTCCACTGAAAAAACACACACTTCTTCTTTTTTTTAACATCAAGAGAATCGGAGGGTCACTCATGATACGAAACGACGCGACAAGATACAAAACCCCCATTCTAATGATAAAGCAATCATAATTGCCAGACAGGCATCTATTGATACATCACCACATCTGATTAATGAAGAATATGAAATTCCCCTAAGAGGTAAAGTGCAAGATAAACGTACTTAATGTCATTTGGTGTCAGTTTCATTCCTATCATGCTTCATCTCTTAACCTCGTTCACTGCTTTTCAACATTCTCCTGCAGTCTTATTCCTCTTCTTTATTCTGCTGTTAACTTCTGTTTACATTACCGTCATTCATGTTAGAAACCCCACTGGAGGCGTCATGAAGTCGGGATGCGGTGAGTCTAACTGGCGGATAAATCCTTACAGGGGCGCAGTTTTTATTTCATAATTAAAATGTCTATTTATAGACATATTTGACACAAGCAATTTAATCATTGTATCACACAAGTCAGGATGATGATGTGCTGCTGTATTGATATTCTGTCTTATACATAATGGTGGTGGTGGTGGTGAAATACAACATGAAAGGTTTGTTAGTCCCCTCCCCTACTCACACTGCTTGTTCTCATCTTCAGGTGGTAGATGAGCCACTTATAGTTGAACTCGGTCTCTCAGCATTGACAGATTTGGGGTGGATGCACACCTTTCCATCAGCCTGGGTGTACACCTTAACCCTGAGAGAGACAACACATCAGAGTGTGGCTGTAAGTGGAAGGTACACTGTCAAAAAAAAAAAATCACGTTAATAATATTTAAGCTTCTGTGATGAGTTGAGACCATCAGCATCAAGAATGATTCTTTCTTTTTGGTTATTTTAATGTTGAAACTGTTGTAGCAGGGTAGGTATCAGATGGACTACTGTAATACACAGTACGCTGCAGAAAAGACTTTAATTCACTGCTTCAGAGGAACGATTTTTGTTGATGTGCAATGAAACTCCTTCATCCCGACAATCCCATTTGTTTTTTAGAAATGATATAAAGAGAGAGGTTTTATCAACATTCCTTTAAAAGCTTTTCCCTTGTTTATATTACAGGCAGAGGGTGTGGAAGAGTTCTTTTGGCGCAGTGTGCAAATCATCTAAAACCTGAAAGTAACACTGTGTACCAAACCTCTGTGTGAAAGCATGCCAGAACCAGAGGGTTTGTCTGTGGGGGGAAAAAGGCTGAATGTACCATAAAGATGTCGGATTTTGCACCAAAGCAAACAAAAAGTGCCTGATCAAGCAATGAATGACCTGAATACTGCAGAGCTGTACTACACACATGAGAAAAACTACAACTGGCTAAGCGACACAACTGTTGGGGATCACATGCAGGGGAAATGCGCCAGAAACTTTGCTGTACATCTGGGTCTAAACGCTGTCACTGAGACAGAGGCAGACAGAGGAAAAAGTGACAGCAGTAGTTTGAGCGTGTCGGTCTGTCACTCTGCTGAATGCGTCTGGATTTCGCACAAAGGTGCCAATGACAGGCTGCCTGAGGGCACTTTTATGATGACTGCATTGATCTTCAGCCGTATTTCACTATTTTACTAACAGGGCCAATGCACAGCCTCGGGTTATCGTCATAGCAACCTTACAGAACTCTTACAGAAAGCAGTCTTAAGAGATATTTCAGCGTAAGGCCATTTTTCAGGGTCTTCAGATTGATCATTCCGATCGTGTGATTCATTCTCTCGTTAGTGCTGTGCAGCCCTTTCCTATCTCTGTGTTCATCCCCCTCTTTGAATCTGCAGACTCACCCTGGCCTCTTTCTGCTGTGGGAGGGTTTGATCATGGCCACCTTTGGGTATAGTCCAGCAACAATCACCGCCTTGATTAACTTTTCATTATCTGAGGAAGTGAGAGAGAGAGAGAGAGAAAAGAGAAAGAAACACATTTTCAAACTGCTTCAAAATCCTTTTTAAGAAATTAAAAAGCTGAATCCAAATATGAAAAGCTCCTCAGTTACCCGAGTTGACATTGGATTTAGGGTCTCTGGACTCCTTGCTGCTGACGAAGCCTGTATGCATTAGATGCTCAGCAAACTGACCCTTCATGTTGTTCAGCATCTGGATAATAAAAGGATCATTTATTGATTGAAAGGCTACAGTTCCCTATCTACACACACAGAAGTACAACTGAAAAAGTAACCGTGGAGCGACCCCTGATCTTGTTGACAGAGCCTCCAGTGTGGAGCGCAGCACTGTCATAATCAGCCCGGCTCACCTGGAGTGTATTGGCAGACAGGAAGTTGTCCCAGCAGTACTCCCTCTCATACCTGGCACCACGCCGTTTGGCGTCCTCCCAGCCCTGACCGATCGACGGATAATACATTATTAAAAGGATAAACTCATGAAGCAGAAAGAGATGACGTTAATGTGACAGATGCTGGCCTGTTTTACCTGGAAGGCGTTGAGTATAGTGAGGTGGTCACTCTTGGAGTTCTTGGAAAGGACCTTTCTCCTCATGTCGGCCATCTTTTCTTTACCCTGAGACCGACAGATGAGTCACAGAACATTTC